TGGTACACAGTGTACGTCATGAGAATGTACAATAAAAAAAATTTTTGGACATTGTTTCTTGCGTGAAAAAGGGAGAGTGTGAACGATCTCCTCGAAAATCACGGCTTCTACTGTACTAATTTAGATACGGTTTTTTGCGTTTTCGCGAAAAATCAAACATATTTTTAGGCCCATGTATGAATTTATTAATTAGTCTCGAAAGAGAAAAGACCTAATTTCTGAATTCGGTGAAAACGGGTAATATTGCTATAATTCAATAATCTTAATCTTCGCTATCGTTACCTTTTCTCCCAGTAACTCCGAACTCATGTATTAGTTAATGTACAGTATATATTTAACACAGAGTCGCACTGGTGGCAGAATGTGAAATAAAAATGAATACAGAAATGTCATTAAATTTCTAAAAATAAAAATCACTTATTTTACTTTAAGTTAAGGTCATTGACGACTTCACGATCGTTTAGATATTTTATGTTTAGAGGCATGAAATAATATCTCTTGACTTTCTCGTTTGATCGACACCACTGACCTATCCTCTGTTAGCACTTTTTTGAAAGTCCGCAAACATCAAATATTTCACGAAATTATTGACAAAGATTCTTGAAAACAAATTAATTCGCGATTTCTAATCGAAATAGTACTTTATTATAATGAAAGTGAAGATTTAAACATTGAATCTCTTCCTCTAAAAAACTTCAAACTTTCCTATTAAGTATTGCAGCTTATGTAGAATAAGTGAGAATAAGTCAGAAGTATTGATTCATCAGAACAATAGAAAGCGAGAAAGGGGTCATATGTTAAATATATATCTGGAGTAAAGACAAACTTATTGTAAATTTTTATTTTTAATTTCCATTTGCAATATTTTGAAAAATTTCTTTCTCCCTGAAAAATTGTCTCTTCGTAATATAAAAACGACTTGTTAGTAAAATCCCGTAACAGATGGAGCGACGCACGTTAAAATATGCGTGGCTCTATTTTTTTTCAGATATTTTTTATCGTAATTCAACAAAATTAGTTGCTTCAATTTTTTGCTAATATTTTAATTTTATATCGTTGTATAATTGAAAATTACAGAATGATTACAGCCATTTTCTTTGAACGTTTGTTAATTTTTTTCTTATGATTTTGTGATTGATCTAATAAATAATTTTAGAGTAAAAGAATGGCCTTAGAGAGACGAAATTGTTTCAGTTCAAGCTAACGGAAATAATATTCGCCGAGATGACCCCCAAAAATTTTTTGTTATTCCCACTGCATATAAATCTTAAATTAAGAAAAACCTTCGTCAAAGCACGAGTTAAACAAGGCTAGGCTTTTATATAATTTAGATATTTTTCTAAACTAAGTGACGCTAAGATTAATGAAGGAAAAAATTACTTTAAATTTATGACTTTATTTATGACTTTAAAATAAAACATTTCTTTAATTAATTTATTATTATATTTTATTTATTTATTTAATTAATTAATTTGTTTTATTTTTTTAATTTCATTTATTTCATACGAATTGCTTCCTTGGCAACTTGCCACGTAAACCGTGGCAGTTTGTATGAAATGGATGACGTCAGTTTATACATTATTTTATTTCTGAATAACATAATGTATAAAAGTATTGATGAATCTCAACAGGTTTTCTCCGTAATTAAAGAAATGTTTTCTTCGTTTAAAGTCATAAATTTTTCAATAAAAATAAAGCTACTCATACAGTTTCTAATAAATTAGAAAATAAAAATAAAGCTATTCATACAGTTTCTAATAAATTAGAAAATTAAGATCGAAACATTCAGATGTTTGATATTTTATTGAATTATAAAGAAAAATTTATGATTTTTGTGCACATTTGTTTGTCTCTGTATGTACCGGTATTCGTTAATGTTACTTTATACAACTGTATAAATAAACCAAACGAAATAAGCTATTATTGCCATCTTGTGAATGTTTCTTTTTTTCAAAATACTAAAACTAAAATTAATAAAATATTGGCTGATCTTTATATAATTACAAAATTAATAAGAGAACGCACAAAACTCAGTTATCCTGTACGTATACAGCAAGAAAACAACGGTTTCTTCCAAGCCGAGTACTTTAATATTTAATCGATTCATTCATAAAAGCTTGTTCTGAATTTTTTCTTAATATTTCAAAATACACATAAGAGAATTAGTAGTTATTTTTCATGCAGTACAACTTCTAATTGACAATGTTTTATTGCTTCGAACAGAGACTGACATAGCAACAGTCATTTTTACAGACGGAGCGAAGGAAATTCGCTTCCTCTGTAAAAATGACTGAATGATGGCAAATACTGTATAATGAAAGAAACTGAGTAGGAAGAATGTGGCTAAATAAGTAAAGAAGAAAACTGTGGAGTAAGGGAGGCTTGGTGGTGGAATGGATAAAGATGCGATAAAGCTTTTAGACTTTGGAAGATATTTGATAGTCAAGCTGATTAACACAGATGTTTGCTTGATTGATTTCTTATATATAAACGTGTGATATAAAAGCAATTATAATATACCATGCTTTAAAACAAAAAACGCTTAGCAAAATAATGTAATTTTGTTTTACAGTTAACATTTATAAGCAGTAAGATGCTCTTAGAAAAACAGTACAATCGCCAGTGTTTCTCAACCTCTAACAAATCGTCGCCCCCTTCAACGTAATATCGCCCCATTCAATAAAACCGTTATGAAAAAGTAATTTTAATTGAGGGGTTTAGTTTCGCCTATGTGAGTCGACCAGACACCGATGGATCTTCCTCGATGTTTTCTAAAACAAAGTGTAACAACTTCTGTAAATAGCATGGCAAAATTTACAAATAGCGAAAGCATTTGGCTTGTCGAGAAAAGAATTTCTAAATGAATACTTACACCTCTTTATCAATTGCGAATCACAATACTCGGCTGATAGCATTAAATAGAAAATAAAAACTTTTTGTTATCGAACTCAATTTATTACAAACAATTGCTGTAGAAATGTGTGCAGTTTTATTTGTAACACACTTCGTAAACTTAATTTAACGTTATAAATTAAAATGTTTTACATTTCTTGCAAGAAAACTCATGAACTTAACAGGTCACAAAATTAAACTAAAAAATTCGGAAGAAAAATGTTTAGCTCCTAAGAAAGCCTTCAATGTACAAGTACAATTAAACAAGGTAAAATGTACAAGACAAATATTTCCTAAGAATTCTTGTCATGCCGTTACTGCATGTAAAGGATAAAGAGTATGCTTCAGTTACAACTAAGTTCGAAGATAGGATCTATTTAGTACGAAATTTCTAACAATAGTTATCGTTTGTCCCCCGTGAGTAATTAGCACAATTGGTAACAATAGCCTAACGTTGATTATAATGGACGGTGTAACTTTCCCGATTTATAACGTTTTGGGACCGATCTATTTATAAGAATAATATAGCCAATTGACCATATGATTTCTCATTTTAAAATAAACGTATTTCACGATATATTCCTGTTATATTGTTGTAAATTAAATTTTTGATATATAATTCATATAATAATACATATTTGTAAATTACATTTGTAATTACAGTAGAGCGTCGGTTATCCGAAGGAATTTCAGTCGACAAATTTAAATTTTCGCCAGTGCTGTGGCGCTGTAATCTTTCGCTGTCTTNTGATATATAATTCATATAATAATACATATTTGTAAATTACATTTGTAATTACAGTAGAGCGTCGGTTATCCGAAGGAATTTCAGTCGACAAATTTAAATTTTCGCCAGTGCTGTGGCGCTGTAATCTTTCGCTGTCTTCGGCTACTCAAATATTTTATGTTTTTGATACTAAATTGACTTCTGAAGTATAATTTTTTTAGTGTTTTTATACTTTTCAATATATTTATTTTGTTTGTACAAAATAAAAAAAATATTTTTAACGATACAATATTCTTTGTTAGGCTTAACATCGACGAAAATTCAACGCGAAGCGACACGCTACGGAAAAAAATTTCAACACGGGATAAATTAATATACTTTTTCGTACATAATTGGTTATTCGAAAAATAAGTTATCCAAACAACCCCAGTCTCCAATTGATTCGGATAAACGACGCTCTACTGTATTTCCAAGACGTTATCAGCATTTAATCTGTTTTTTTAAAGTAGTTTGATTATTATTATATTTACTTTTTAAACGTTGGTACTATTTTCATGAACTAAAAAAATTCAACAAATGTTCGATAAACTAAAGTTGATACAGAAGAGCATATAATAATTCTTTAATTAATAATGTAGCAGTGTTCTTTAAATTAATTTAATGTATAGAGTTATTTCAAATAGAACAATTTATATTGTAAAAACAATAAATTACGCTATAGTAAATAACGTGTTCAGTAAAACTCCATCTTTTGATATAACCTGTACATTACACAATTTAACTGTTAATCCAATTTATGAAACCAATAAATTCTTAGAAGTAAAAACAATTACTCTTCTTTCAATAGAATGAAAGCAATAAATGAGGAACAAATGAATACCTTAAAGGTTAAAGAATTTTAACTATTCCCTGAAAAACACAAAGTGGGCGGAATAAACTTCATATTGGCTATATTAACTGTCAATCTGATTCATTATTTTCCAAGCACTTTTGGGCTTGGTGAAAAAAATCAGTTTTTAAATTAACTCAAATATAAAAGATATTTTTTGTTATAATTGACATTTTTCAATTGACAGGAATATTTCAACTTTTTTTTTCGTAATATCATTAGCAAACAGAAAAGCGAAACATGTTAATACAATTTTTATTAACAATGCTATTTGTAATTTATTTCAAACGCTGTTATCAAACTGTAATTTTAAATCAGCAATATTAAATCAGCAAATATTAAATCAGCAAATATTAAATCAGCAATATTGCGTAATTATAAATATTCTTTTATATTTATATATTTATTTTGGACTTAAATATGTATTATTATAAGATTTTATTAATTATTATCGTCGAAGAATTCGCGTGGCGTTGACATATTTCTTGTGTTTTCGAAATCGCTCGCCAGGACTCGTCGCTGCAGCTTTATTTGTTCCCGAATCCAGCAAAAGACAAGTCTAAGACGTTGAGTTCGGAGAATAAGAAAAAAAATAAAAAAACAATAAAAAAAATACAAACAAATTATTATAATTGTCGTATATCATGGCACGCAAAAGTGGAAATAAAGCCTCGGTACTGTACGACGCTCTGAACAATGTAGCTATGGCTTCCGAGCAGCAGCTGAATAATGATCAGTTAATGGAAAAGGTTGCCAAAGTTCGTGAAGTTTTCCCGTCTAAAAGCAAGCACGACGTCATATTAGTTCTTCAGTATTATGAATTTGATGAAAATTTAGCTATTAGTGCCTTTACGGAGGATGGAGCTGCGCAGGCATTGAATGAATGGAGTGTTACTAGTAACAATAAGTCAAAGACTAATAGCAAAAATAAGAAGAAAAATAAAAAAAAGAATAAGAAGGAAGCAGTCTCTCGCGAGAACCTGCAGTCCAACGAAGTGCCGGCTGGCAAGGAGAACGTCTCGACGGATCTGCAGGCCGAGGTCACTACATCGTTGGAACGGCAGCCGGAGGANTAAAATTTAGACTACATTGTCGTAATGCAAGTTCTAGCATATTTTCCTCTACATCTTGCATTGTCGGCTAATTTCAAAATTTATTTGTGATTATTTGTTGTTCATAAACTACTCACGGGAATTCCAAACTTTGATACAATGTCTTTCTTTGAGCCTTTATCAAATTCTCACAACACACTAATTTTTTCAGTAAACACTATATTAACAGTTCTTCAAATTCCAACTGGATGACTTATTAAATAAAATAAAATCTCATAACCTGAAATTAGTCCAACAGTTGTCAAAATTATCACTTTTCTACATTTTCGACATTCGTTAATTGTAAACTGTTTATCTGTTAATGACTGCATTTTGACCTAATTTTTCTCTTTCCTCTTTATAACCTTTAGTCACGTGGGGGCAGATTACATGATGGTTTTAAATCTAAGGATCACTATTTTTCACACCTGGACTGCAGTTTTACAAATGATTTACAGATTGATACCTGAAATTGAACCTAAATTCAAATTTGACCTAGAGGAAGTAATCTACTTTTAATGATTGATGGTCCTTACAAATTAAAAAAAAATTTGTTATACAGAAATTTAACTTTATTATTTAGAAGCACTTTTACATATATATTTGGCTGAAAGATCTTAAGAAAAGTTGTAAATTACAATATGGAAAACTTAATAGAATATTTGTGGTATTGCATACAATTATAATATGAATTAATCAATTTAAAATAAAACAATTTGGTTTGAATTTCATGTTTTTTTTTGTTTTAATGTACTGTATGTAACATGTATAAATATGTTTGTTAATTAAAAAATCATTTTAAAATCTTTAAAATTACAAAATGTTTAACTCATTTTTAAAAAAATAATAATTAAATTTACTGGGTAGTAGATCGGTGATTTTTATTTTTTTCTATAAAGAAAACAAAAATAATTTGTATTTAGTCTATTGTTCGTCTGTTTTGTCGCCCAGTTAACTATTGCCTAGTTGTCCGTCACTCAGTTCATGGTGTTCCTCAATTTCTACCAGAAAATGCCCATCCTACAGTATTTTTTCTTTGGTGATAAGAGTTTGCTAAGTTTTATGAGGTGTGAAAATTTAATTCCTGGAATGGATACGTAGTATCACACATGATTGTAATTGTATTTAAATTGTGAGTATTCGTCTTTGAACAGGTTTGAACTAATATGTGCATAAATTGCAAGCTGATAGAGCCAGTCATTAGTTAGCCATTGGGAAAGCAATAGATGTACACGTGCACTTGGTAACATTTACAAAGCACTGAGTTGCAGTATTTTTACAGTGAGAGACTTCCTGGCCAAAAAAGTGATTATCTAATTAGATCATCCTGCCTATTCACTCGACTTAGTTCTATATGATTCCTGGCTGTTTCCGAAATTAAAAGCTGCGTCAAAGGGAGAAAGATTTTCTAATATAACTGATATCAAACAAAATGTGAGACAGGCACACAACAACATTCCAAAAAATGAGTTACAGGCCTGCTTTTGTAAATAGGAACACATATTTAAGTGTATAGATGCATAAGGAGAGTATTTTGAAGGTGATAGAAGCCACTAGTGTACAGTTTCACACATTTTTTAAGGATGCATTCTGGGAATTAAATTGTCACATGTTATATCTTTCAAATTGTGTACTGCTGAACAGCATTTCTAACAGCCAATAACACTGTTTTAGTCACGAACTAAATTCACCCATAGTCTGCAACTACTATTGATATTAAAAACTAGTTTGTAGTCTACTGCTGATTGTGAGGAAAAGGGATTAAGTTGTCTACTATTTTTTCAACAGAGAAGTAATAATTCAAATCATGGAATGCTATTTTTTCTTTATGACAAAAAAGGAAAGAATGTAAGGACTGAAAACAGACAATGCAAGAAAATTTGGATATGCTGATGATTTGGTGATTGCCATGTGTCATAAAGATCTTAAGATTAACTGAGAAGACCCTGACACAAGATTTATCTACCCTAGGACAATATTTTTGTCCTAGGGTAGCTGAGTATGACAAAAACTGAAGCTATGTGCTTTCATCTTAATAACAAACTGGCAAATGAAGAGCTAAAGATTTATTTTGAAAACAATCTACTGAAACCCAATAAGAACTTGAAATATCTTTGTGTCACTTTGGACAAGACTCTGTTGTTCAAAACACATCTGATGAGTCCTGTTGCCAAAGTCAATACCAGAAACAATATCCTTCAAAAGTTATACAGAACTACATGGGGCTCTTCAGTGTCAACCTTACAGATTTCTACTCTTGGCTTGATTTTTTCTGCAGTGGAATACTGTGCACCAGTTTGGGTGAACAGTGTTCTCATTAACAAACTAGATGCCCAATTTAATCATGCCTTGCACATCATAACAGGTACTATTAAATCTACTCCTATTGATTGGTTAGCTTTTTGGAGTAATATCCCTCCACCTGTACTCTGAAGGGATGGCGCTCTGCTGAAGGTATATAGGAAAATACTGAGCAATCCACAACTTCCGATTCACCAGGATGTAGATGACCTCAAAATAAATAGACTTAGATTGAGACATCCCCCTCTCTTAAAAGCTATGACCCTGAATTCCAGCAATTTCAACCTTATTGAATCTTGGATAAAGCTATGGGCTGATGTCTTTCCAATGGAATGTCAAGAACTCCCCTGTATTACAAAGCAATCACCTGGATTTGAATTACCCAGAAATTCTTGGAGTGTGTTGAATAGGATTTGGACAAGACAGGATATGCAGAGACAATCTTTTTAAATGGGAAAGGTTGCATACCCACAGTGTTATTGTGGTGCAGAAAGACAGACTCTATGACGTATTTTGGATGATTGCCCAATGAGATTCTCTCCAGGAGAACTGAGTGACTGATTTAAACTATGTTTTCGAATTGGATTTACATTTGTGATTGGTGTTTGTATTGCTTTCTGTCCTGTATACTAACTAAGATATGTATTACTTAAAGCCATAAGCTAAATAAATAAATAACTGAAAACAGACTTTGATGATTACAAGAGTTGTATGTGTGAAATCTCATTGTATGTTCATCTGTTGCTTACATTATGCATTGTTTAGGTTAATAAATTACTTATGTTAATAAAAAGCTTTTAATTTTTTAAAATCCACAATAAAACCAGTAACAGAAAATTTAATTTAATTAATAAATTGCTATTTATTCAACTATCTTCTTATGCTTTACATAGATAAAATATTTTAATGTTGTATTTCAAACAGAAACTTTCTATTGCAGCAAACAACCAGATAATTCTCAGACCCAAACTAGTGTGCAGCCTAGGATACCGTCTGTTACACCAGAAGATAATAATTTACCAACATCATCTTCCTCTTCAACCTCTTCCAGATCGCAAGGAAGGAAGGGTAATCTTTTCCTATTGATTAATAATCTCTCAGATTTAAGTTTAGCAAATTGCATTTTTCCAAATGTTATGTCTTAACTGAAATTTAAAACTTTTTCAGGATTAGAGAAATGCTTAAAAGATCTTTCTCGACAGACGGCTGCACTACAACGAATACATAATCTTTTAGAAGAAGAATTAGAAAATTCTGATAAAAGGATAAAAAGTGCTTTCCAAGAAGTTCAGAAATTGCTAGAGGAAAGACAGACACAAATAGCTCAAGAAATGGAAAAGGTGAAGAGAGATGCAAGACAGTTACTAACACAGCGACAGGAACTCGCTGTAGAATTGAAGAAGAGGGCCGAGCGTGCCAGCACTCTTTCGGAAAACGACCTTAACGAGCTTAGGATAGAAATAAAGCATTTTGTAGTCGAAAGGAAGTATGATGACGAACTGGGAAGAACACTGCGCTTCATTTGGGATCGGGACAAGATGACTGAGGAAATCAGAAACTTTGGTGAAGTAAATCAAGTCAAAAATTACTACAGTCAGAGACGCTGTTCCGTGTCGTCGGTAGCTAGTTCAACAAATCCCGAACCTGTAGAACCACCTCCAGTCACGGACCTTTCTGTTTCAGTATCTAGTTCAGAAAAATCTGAAGAACCAATAGAAAGGAACGAAGCAAATAGTAGTGTAGCCAGTCAGTCGNATTTTTAAACAGGCTAGAGGAAAGACAGACACAAATAGCTCAAGAAATGGAAAAGGTGAAGAGAGATGCAAGTACGTAAAGTGAAATTTTAAAAATGTTCTGACTGGAAATACTGCAAATTTCCATTAAGAGCTAAAAGAAATAAAAATTCAAATGCTCATTTTATTGCTTTACCATTTAAATTACTTTCTTTTATAGGACAGTTACTAACACAGCGACAGGAACTCGCCGTAGAATTGAAGAAGAGGGCCGAGCGTGCCAGCACTCTTTCGGAAAACGACCTTAACGAGCTTAGGATAGAAATAAAGGTGGAATTTTATGTAGTTAATTTACAAAATTGTCAATATACACATAATTAATTAAGTCTTATTGGAAGAATTTATGAAGGTGCAAAGTTATTTATCAAAACGTAATTTGTATTGTAGCATTTTGTAGTCGAAAGGAAGTATGATGACGAACTGGGAAGAACACTGCGCTTCATTTGGGATCGGGACAAGATGACTGAGGTAATTTTCACTAGCATTTAGCAGTTATTTAAAACTTATATAAGGCTAATTCATAGATGGCTGAAACAAAAATTGAAAGCAATGTCACATTTTCATTATGCTTTTTAAACAAATTCTTCATAGATCTAATATTACAAGTTTTTTTTAATTATTTTTTCTTTTAATTTAGTTATTTATATGGGTCAATATAATATATCAAAATAGCAAATGTAAAGTATTCTAATTAAGTATGGAGTTACACTTCATTTTTATGACAGAAATGGAGAATACACTGAATTAGTGTATTTAGTGATTGTCAATTGTCATCATGAACATAATAAAGCTTATACAATTTTGTCGTGGTAATTTAATATTTCAACACCTTATATTATATAGTTTCAGATATCTAAAAATTGGAAAAATTAATATTTTATGCAAACTCAAATGTTCTTTTTGAAATCAAAAATTGTACTTTCCAAATTTCAGTTTGAATACGAGAAGGATTACACTTCTTTGCAAGTCATTGCATTCTCTTTACATTGTGTATTTTTATGTTTTGTTTCTTAATGAAAAAGTGAGTTGCTAGTATTGTTAAATTATAACAAATAATAGTAACCTTTATAACAGTACAGTGGTTCTTCATACTTTGAACATTCCAAAGTATAAGTGGTAGATTCTAGATAAATTTGATCTGGAGTTTGAATGATGCTTTTGTTTGAAACCGCATATGCAGTGAAAATTGTTCTCACTGTGAAAGCATTTCTTGTTGTTTTTTTTTTTTTTTTTTATTCATAGTGCATTTAGTTATATATATAACTCCTACCTATTAACTATGACACTCAAGAAGTATGTGGAAGAAACAATGTTTAAGAGGAAGATTGTAGTATCAACAATTGAGTTGAAAAAGGAACTTACTGCAATGTCCACAAATACCACATTTGTGCATGGATCTGGCAGCAATGTTTAAGATGCCAATGTTGATGGTGTGCAACTGATGTGTGTTTTTTCATTTTATTATACAGTATTTATTTTATTTGTTCTTTTCATGTTTTAATTTATTATTTAGGATGTTTAATCGTGTGTGTTTGCTGTTTATGTTCATTGAAATGGATATCGTTTAGGATCTGGGAATGAGTTAATTTACTCTACATTATTTCTAATGGGGAAAATTGATTTGGACATTGAATGGCTTCCCAGAATGAATTAAATTCAAACTATGAGACACTACTGAATTAGAATGCCCATGTTTGACTTGCAAATTTGAATTTGGCTTAAATTTCTGCATGTTGCTAGTGAGAAAGACATGTATTAAGTTGGCTTGTTGCATTTATGGGTCATTAATATATGTTTAAATTAAATATGCTCAGAATAATATGCAAAACCTTAAAAATTTTTGTTTGCTCTATGCTGTTTTTGTTCCAATATCTATGAATTGGCTTTGTGTTAATGAAGAAAATAATTTAATTCTGAAATTTTGTTTTATAGGAAATCAGAAACTTTGGTGAAGGTAAGTTTTTACTATTTCAGATGATTTTAAAATTTATAAACTAGTGATTTCTCATTGTAATTATTGTTTTATCTGTAGTAAATCAAGTCAAAAATTACTACAGTCAGAGACGCTATTCCGTGTCGTCGGTAGCTAGTTCAACAAATCCCGAACCTGTAGAACCACCTCCAGTCACGGACCTTTCTGTTTCAGTATCTAGTTCAGAAAAATCTGAAGAACCAATAGAAAGGAAGCAAATAGTAGTGTAGCCAGTCAGTCGCCCACTCAGGTATGTAATTATTAACATGTTACTCACTTACAAATTTAATAACATTTAGAATTAAAATAATTAAAATCGATCATATTTTAGGATCGATATCCTCAGAATCACATGCGCCAGGAGAGTCGACCGAGAATATTTTCCAACAGAGGACGATGGTCCCCTGCTTACCGCAATCCCCAGAATAATTTTAACCCTAGATATCCTCACCGAGGAAGGGGTGGCAGGGGAAGAGGTGGCTGGAGAGATGGAAACTATCACAATCAAGGTTCCCAGTACAACGTGAACGTGCGTGATAGACCTCCCAACAACGACAGGGCAGAGGGTAACTTTGACCACTCCCGTGGTGTGTCCAGTCATCCGCACAGGTCTCCACGCGTCGACTGGCACCACCGCCAGTGGAACAGCTTCTCTTCCAAGTCTGGTCAAGAATCTAATCCTAAAGAAAACGCAGGTAGAGACACGGGATCCGGAGAAGGACATTTCAACAAATCTGAATTAAAAGAACACGTTCCGAACATAGTAAACGGTTTCGACGACCATTGACAAATTGTAAATTACAGTTTATATAAAGAAATGAAAGCCAACTGTGACATCATGACCAGGTTTGTTGGGTGCTGCCAATTGTCTATATAAAAAAAAATAAAATAAAAAAAATAACAGGAGAGTTTGAAAATTGTGCCTGATAGTCAACTTTATTCATTTTTGTCAGATTAAAATAGAAATTTTTAGCAGCCCGAATTTAAATGGCTGTTGTAGATAAAACTTTTGTAATTTGTGTCATTAAATGTATCTAATGATGCCGTATTGATATTTCTTATATATAAGTATTTTTTCCTCCCGTTTTGTTAACCGACTTGTCAGTTTATCTGCCAGTTCTTGTAATTAAGAGATCATTCGCCGTGCGAGGAATGCAAAAATATATAATGAAACGATTACCAAGTTGGGTGGAAGTGCCTGTTAAACTTCAAAGTTTGTAGCTATCACCACTGTTCATGCTGCTGTTATGGTTAAATGTGTACAATTTGTGCATGTGTGTGTAATTATATGTAAAATCCACTCCTGCTTGTTCGTATATTTATGTTACAGTTTGGAGGAAATAGAATTGAGTGCATTTTCCTCGTTTCCGATCGTAGAAAAATCCAAAGGCATTTCGAGAAACGTAGCCGACAGGAGAGTACTGAGCGGTACGGGACGATGGCGAAAATAACGAGTGGCGTTTTTTTCGAAATCCACCGGACCGAGAGCTCGGCACATCCGACCGTAATTTTCCCCGAAAGTGCCAAACGTCGATTCCTGTAAAGTCTCTTCTCCGTTCCGAATTTCCTCCGAGTCGAGTTATGGGAAAAAAAAAAGGAAAAAGCTATCTCTGACCAGTGCCTTAAACTGTTCAGTTAGCAGAGAAATTACATGAAACTGAACAATAATACAATCATTAGGCATTCGGCTGGTACCGACTGCATTCCATTTGATGTGCGTGCTTGCAGATGTCGTCTGTTGGTGCCTTGTAAGAACAGGGTGTGGTTTTTGCGCGAATTGTGCGGCCCACTCAAACGTGCGGTTAGTCATTATCTCTACAGAGCAATAATGACGGTCAAATGGCATGCAAATGGTCATGTAATCAGTTTGTGCATTTGTAATCTTAGCTTTTTTAATTATTATTATTTTGTCAATTTTTAAAATGTGCTTACACTGTTAGATGAATTTGTGGCATACGTGCTTTGCAATTGTGAATATATTTTCGCCCGGTACTTGTTATATATTTAGCCTTTTCTTCGCTTTCCCCTCGGATATATGGGACCATTGTTTGGTTGCTGATTGAAATTAACATTCTATATCCTCTGTAACAATGTGTTTAGATGAATATCTGCTGTTTCTTTGCAGTGTAAAACTAGAAGCAATAGTATGTGGTTCAATACACAGCTGAAATTGTAAAATTGTTGTGAAAGTGTTACACTTTGCTCATGCACTTATTAATTAAAGCAAAACTAATTGTGAAATTTCGGTTTGGTTCTTGATGTCCCAAGTTCTCGACTCAGTCTGAAGAGTCGAGACCCCGCGCCGTGGTCGAACTCGAATCCGGTATTCGCCCAAAACCGTATTCCGGAAGACGAGACTCGTTCCATCGAGACAAAATGACGGTCGCTTCCTCATTTAAACAGAAGATAAACATTTTGTAATTGTAAAGCACAGTTATGTCTAAAGACAGAAATAGTATAATTCTACTTTAATTTTGCTACTCTAAGTGAGTCGAGATATACTCGACGGTGACAAAGACACCAGATGAAGTGTGAAAGTGTTCTGATGTGATGGTGATGTTTGTTAAGAGATGCTTGAATTTGATAATATTTTCATCTATTTATTTTAATGGCGATTTTTGTCTAGATGATCCACAAATATGTAACAATGGGTACATTCCAGTATGCATCAAACAGTGTATTGGTGAACTGCAACATATCAAAATGTGTTCCGATATTCACCAATGAGTTGGTCAATGCAGTAATCGATGCACGGTACATTTGTCTGGTTGTGGGTGCGGTGAGCTCTGATGATGCAATATGAAGCAATATGGCTGCCATTTTTACTACTTGTTTGTATTAATCCAAAGTTATTTTGACATAATAAATCTGCAAATGCCAATATAGCACTATATGCTTCTGCTATCTTGGTCATTTCCAGACTCTGGTAAAAGCTTACTAAAGCATTATTGCTGACACCAATGCATACCGGAATGTATGCAATGTTTTTGAGTGTATTTTACTAAATTGTTGACCATTCCATGCATATCAAAACATTTTCTTGATTGTTTTAGAATAATCTGGAAAATACAAGTGTATATTGTGGCATTATACTGTTTTTGAGTCTTTAGTACATACCATTACTAAGAGACAACTAAGTTACGTTGATCCGTGCACGTCAGTCTGTCTTATGCATACGTTAGTGTCCGACAAAGACATTAACTTTCACGTGACCTGCACTGTATGTTAGTACAATGTCTTAAAATTGTATTTGGAAAATTTCATAGAAGTCCCACAGTTATCCCGTGTCAGAAATCATGTTTGCATATGGTTTCCCTCAAATTATTACTTTGTTGCAAACATTACAATTTAAATAATAATTCCTTACTTAAAATTTATAAGATTTAATATCAAAATTTAAGTATTTATATTTACTGGTAGGATGGTATGGAAGACGAGGAAACAAGAAATTAAGACGTTATTCATTATAGGTACATTTGTATTGTCTTAGTTGTTTGTGTTGTCATCGTCATCCCTTTAAAGAAATGGAAATAGTTTTGTCACCAGTGGAACAAATTTGCCAATTTTATCAAAATGTTTTTTACAAAATGGGTGGAACAAAATGCTACAGAACAGATACTGTGTATCTTGCATAAGGCTAGTGTGATTTTTAGTGTGAAATGGCTGCAATAAATTACCCTACATTGGTTCATTTAGACTGTGTTGTTGGTATCTTAGGTATATTTTTTAATAACTATAATAATCTACATCGCATTTAGTGCTCAGTACCTAGGTACCACTAATGGTACAAACTGTCGTACAATGCTGTGGACTAGGATACTCTATTATGTTTGAAAGATGTCAGATTCTATTGATTGAAAAATGTGTAAATTCAATTTTCACTGAAAGGCAGGTTAGGAAAATTACTAATGATAAATTAATACTTTTTATATCATCACAGCAAATCAATTTATGATTATTTAATTTTAAATTATTGAATAAATGGTAAGTTTTATATAAAATAACTTAAGTTTCAATACAAAATTTCTCTCTCTCCTCTGTTTATCCAGTATGAAATGAGCAAGTTTACAAATTCTTTTATCCAATACATAGTATGCATTTAGCTATGGCATTCACAAACATTAATGCTTTGTTAAACACTGTTCTGGTATGTTGTATACTTAGAATCACTTCCCATTTAGTCTCTACCTTTTGAATCTGTATAAAACAATGGATGTTAGTGAGAGAATTGTATACTTCAATAGAGAAGACAAGCATACTTTTAATTATCTTAAGATCTGGAAAAATCAGAGATAAATAAAACTAATTGAGGGATTTTTCCCTGAAGTTACAGCTGTATTGAAGTAATGGCCTTAGTGTTTTAAGTTAGTGTCTGGGGAATGACCTTTAACTCTAGTAGAAATTTTATAGTAGTATTTATACATTTATGCGCCCATTTTGTTATTTCCTTTGATGTATTATACGGTAATCAGGTACAGTACATAGTACGTACTGATATACTGTAAACCTCTCCGAACGTGGCGCCCTCTGAAGTATTGCTATGAAAATGAAATTACACAAGTTATACGATGAATTTTTTTTAATCATCTGAATGTGTAGAGTTTGTTTAATATTAAAAGAGTTTAATAATCTTGAATTTATAAAATATTCTCTTATTTTTTTACGCTTCGTTGCTAATCGCTCACCTGTCGTCTACCTGTTTGATTTACGGATACACGGAAAATTAATTGAGACAGCTGATAATTTCATAAAAATAATTATGCTCTTTTTACGTGCACACTATTTGGCATTTTTAATTTGAATCTTAAAAGTTTAAAGAAGTTCAGATTATCGCATTGGCGGACGAAGATCGGGGTTTATTAATAATTACACTTTTATATTATACGAATAACATTAAAAGATATTTTTGTTTAATATACATACGTATCGCGCACGCGAGAAAATAATGTTAAAAAAAATTATTTTAATTCATTTAATTGAAGAAACATATCATCCGAATTAGGTTCAATTAGAACGTAGCAGTTCGGTCAAAGTTCAGCGTCTTCAATGTTTACTTTCATAACCGGAAGTCGTCTGCAACTTTACTAGTAAAAATAGCATAAAACAGAAAAGCAGAAAAATATTAATATCAGAGACGCTCGAATAATAATTAAAACATTAATTTTGATACAAATTTACCAGTTAAATAGATAGAGTTGCGAATTATACGTCGCACTATTTGTTTTCGCGGACGGACACCAGAGGCGCGACGAAGTGTCGGCAGCTTTGACGTTTTTTTTTTTATTTAGTTAAAAATTCGTATCGAGAAGGAGAAGGTGGGGCACTCAAATATTCGATTTTACGTGCTGTTTTTTATCGAAAAATATTTAAAAAGACGATAAATCAGCCTGGATAAGAAAGAAGAAGAAGAAATATTAAGGGTGAAAGTCAGGTGAGGGCGTTTGTTTTAAGTAATGGCCAGTTATCCGGGTTGATAGTCGAGGTTGTTGTTCTCTGTTTATTGATCAAAATTTCTTCACTTTACGAACTGTTCGAGTGTAAAATGCATTAAAAAGGCACGGTTAATCGGTTAGAAACTCTGGTTAATCGGAAATTTTCACCTCCAGAGTGGCCAATTCGCTAGTCGAATTTCTCCACGTAACGCATTTACTTACCAGTTGATGCTTAATTAATTGTAATTGCTTTAATAAATTGTGCGTTTTAATCCAGTTCGTTACTCCATTTTGAACATTTCTTCGTGATTTTGACGGTTAATTAATGGGTAATTCTTTAATTAATCGGACTAATTTTGGTGTAACTTGAAAGAATTTAATATTTGCCAGCTGTTCTGGTTCATTTGCTTTAAACAAGATGTCTACCGTACTTCAAAATCATTGAATGGTATGGTGTGAACTTCAAACGAGGGAGTTGCCGCCTGCCAGAGTTACGGACCGACAAAAAAGTTGACGGAACCGTACCCGTACGCGTGACCTTTTGCCAGATATTCGCCTGCAAAAGTCGGTTTTTACCGTGTGTTGGTCCTACTGCTCTGTCTTGGTCTG